TGTAATGTTAAAGTCGATGTAAATAAGTGTGCTACCCTTATGTTTCAACCGAGTTTTTCCTTTAACAAATTTTGTGTCTACCAAATTGGGTTGGTTGGGGTGTAATACTAATAATAAGTGTTGCCTTTAATTTAATCAATAAAATAAATTGACTTCATTAATTTTTTTGAACCACCTCTTAAGAAAATCTAAAAAATATGAAGGGAATGATAAATCACAAGTACAAACTCATCATATTTTTTGCATTTTAGATAGGATTTATTCAGCAAAATTTAAGGGTGACGTCATCAATTTTTTTAGGAGGGATGAACAAATACATTTTGAACAAAAGTTTACCATGCTTATAATAACTTTAAAATATTCCCAAGATTTCAAAGCATTCGGTTTTGTAATTCCTGATTAAATCGATAAAATAAATTCACGCCTTCATTAATTTTTTTGAGTCACCCTGCATATGCAAATCCAAAAATATGAATGGAATGATAAATCACAAGTATAGACTCATCATATTTTGTACATTTTAGATACGATTTAATCGGCAAACTTTTGAGCTGACGTCATCAGTTTTTTGTAGAAGATAACCAAATATATTTTGACTAAAAATTTATTATGCTCTTTATAACCTTAAAACATCTGCAAGATTTCAAAGCATTCGGTTTTGTAGTTCCTGATTAAATCAATAAAATAAATTTACGCATTCATTAATTTTTTTGAGTCACCCTGTATATGCAAATCTAAAAAATTTGAATGGAATGATAAATCACAAGAAGAGACTCACCATATTTTGTACATTTTAGATAGGATTTATTCAGCAAAATTTTGTGGTGACGTCATAAATTTTTTAGGGGGGACGACCAAATACGTTTTGATCAAAAATTTACCATGCTTATGATAATTTTAAAATATCTTCAAGATTTCGAAACATTCGGTTTTGTAGTTCCTGAGTAAATCAGTAAAATAAATTTACGCTTTCATTTATTTTCTTGAATCACCCTGTATATGCAAATCCAAAAAATATGAATGGAGTGATAGATCACAAGTACAGACTGATCATATTTTGTACATTTTAGATATGATTTATTCAGCAAATTTTCGAGCTGACGTCATCAAGTTTTTGGAGGGGATAAGCAAATATATTTTGACTAAACATTTATTATGCTCTTTATAACCTTAAAACATGTGCAAGATATCAGAGCATTCCGTTTTGTAGTTCCTGATTAATTCAATAAAATATATTTACGCATTCATTAATTTTTTTGAGTCACTCTGTATATGCAAATCCAAAAAATATGAATGGAGTGATAAATGACAAGTACAGGCTCATCATATTTTGTACATTTTAGATATGATTTATTCGGCAAACTTTCGAGCTGACGTCATCAAGTTTTTGGAGGGGATAAGCAAATATATTTTGACTAAACATTTATTATGCTCTTTATGACCTTAAAACATCTGCAAGATTTCAGAGCATTCGGTTTTGTAGTTCCTGATTAAATCAATAAAATATATTTACGCATTCATTAATTTTTTTGAGTCACCCTGTATATGCAAATCCAAAAAATATGAAAGGAGTGATAGATCACAAGTACAGACTCATCATATTTTGTACATTTTAGATATGATTTATTCCACAAACTTTTGAGCTGACGTCATCAAGTTTTTGGAGGGGATAAGCAAATATTTTTTGACTAAAGATTTATGATGCTCTTTATAGCCTTAAAACATCTGCAACATTTCAAAGCATTCTGGTTAGCAGATTAAAAATTAAATTTCAAAATGTTGTTTTATAATTTTGATTTTTTTTCCAAAAATCTGGACGTTTCGGGTGAAAAGTCGATTCAGAGTTGTAAACTACATGTGTAGGACTATGTTATTTTATACAATTGAAAACCCATTTACTATGTAGAATTTTGAAGTGACGTCATCGCATTAGTGGTGGGGATGATTAGACAAATTTTGGTTAGCGTTTTACCATCTACACGATATTCTTAATATAAGTACAAAATTTCACAACAATCGGTCGAGTACTTTCGGAGATTATCTGTCTAATAAAAATCCGGGACGGCAGACGGACAGACAGACGGACGGACAGACGGACGGACAGACGGACAGACGGACAGACGGACAGACAGACGGAAATGGGAGACCTATTTCTTCGTCTTCTAGGGGTCATGAAAGATCGAGAAAACGTAAAAGTAGAGAGTCGGCCGACGGACTCGATTACAATACTTCCTTTGCTTACGCTCGGGAAGTAAAAATTGGTTTGAAAATAACTAATCATCTCTAAATAAGGATGAGACTCAGACAATAATATTTATACTACGAGACTTGCATGAGACAGTAAAAATATTTGGTGTGGTATTTGACCCTCAGCTAAAATAAAACAATAAGCATGCTTTAAAGTTTGTATTAAAACCAAAAACAGAATAATAAACTTAAATTAAATAACCAAAATGTCAAAGTAGTGAATTTTATTTGATTGACACAAAACGGATTTAGATATAGTTTTTTATTATCTACAATTTTAGTATTAAATGTTTTGCTCTAAAACAATAATTAGGGGTCCCAATTTTTTCAAGATTCTACACCCGGTATATGAAATAATTTGTCTATTTCAAAGCGTATTTTCGTATGGTATCGATTGGGGACATAGTAGTCAAGTCAAAAGAATAGTTCGAACTCAAAGACGTTCTATGAGAATTATGGACGTTTTTAATTATCTTGGCAATGTTATGTGATTGCTAAAAAATCGAAGAGTAGAACTAGCATATCGTGGCAACGTCGCTTCGAATTTATAGAAGAATCTACGGTTATAAAGTTAGGAAGAGGCTAATAAGGGTATGTAAAAAGATAAAGGTGTTCTATTAACAAAATATGTACTATGGCTTAAAAACAAAACACTCGTATAGTTGAAAATGATTTTAAAATGTGTGTAAGTTTTTTCTGTCTTTAATAATAATTAATGAGATATGGAGGACCGCGCACTTGGTGAGTCATCCTGTATATTTATGTTAAATTAACTGTGGAATGTAAATCTCTCAACTAAATCTCTGACCATTGCCTGTCTGGACCTATTTTTTTTAAATATTAACACTCTGTTACTTCCGTTCACTTCAATTCACTTAATGATTTAGTAGGAATTCTTAGTTGAGCTAATAAAGTTTTAATAAATTCTGTGTACAAACTTTTAAAAATTGTAGAAAATAGGAAAGTATACTTTCAATTTTTCCAAAAACATTTTACTATGCAATGACACGTGAAACTGTAAAAAGTCAAGGGCGTAAGAAAAGGAAGTATTGTAATTGAGTCCGTCGGCCGACTCTCTACTTTTACGTTTTCTCGGCCTTTCATGACCCCTAGAAGACGAAGAAATAGGTCTCCCGTTTCCGTCTGTCTTTACGTTTGTCCGTCTGTCTGCCGTCCCGGATTTTTATTAGACAGATAATCTCCGAAAGCATTGGACCGATTGTTGTGAAATTTTGTATTTATATTACGAATATCATGTAGATGGTAAAACGCTAACCAAAATTTGTCTAATCATCCCCACCACTAATACGATGACGTCAGTTCAAAATTCTACATAGTAAATGGGTTTTAAATTGTATAAAATAACATAGTCCTACACATGTAGTTTATGACTCCGAATTGAGCTTTTGCCCGAAACGTCCAGATTTTTGAAAAAAAAAAAACAAAATTATGAAACAACATTTTGCAATTTAATTTTGCAAAACCGAATGCTTTGAAATCTTGCAGATGGTTTACAGTTATGACAAGCATGATAAATTTTTAATCAAAATATATTTACTTATCTCCTCCAAAAAATTGATGACGTCAGCTCAAAAGTTTGCTAAAAAATGCTTAAATGTGTAAAGAATGATGAGTTTATACTTGTGATTTATCACTGCATTAATATTTTTTAGATTTGCTTATACAGGGTGTCTGAAAAAAATTAATGACTGAGTCAATTAATTTTATTGATTAAATCAAGAATTACAAAAATGTAATACGAAAAAAGACATAATAGGCTTGCAGTCGTCACATTCCCGACAGCGAGGGAAGTACTGTCTAAACTCTTTAGACCAATTTTTTTAAATTAAAAAATTAAAAATTACAATTCTAATCGTCTCGATCGATTGTTAACGTCATAGCAATGCTTATAAACTGTCTATTAAAACGTTTCTAACATTTGTTAACAACTATTCCGTTTCGGATGTAATGTCACACACGTTCAAGAATACTTAGGTAACTCCGAACGCGAAACTAATCGATGACCTGTTGTTTAAGTTTGACACAACGAAATTACTTTTCGTATTTTTAATATCGAAATAACTTACAGGATCACGATAAATTGTTAATTAAGCGATTATGCGTTTTTAATGAAGTAAAGATTACGTGCAATGAATAAAAATCATACTCTAGTAGACACAAGATTTTTAACTCTCTTTACTCTCACTCTTACGTGTGCGCTGCAGGCGACTCCAAAAATTGTCTGTTCCGCACACACATGAGCATTTTTTTTTGGACCACACTATGTTTCCGTATTATTTATCTTATCTATACAGTGTTTAATGAAAGTGTTAAACAATACTGACAACTATGGCCAATTTAACGACAGTTTAACACTATTTTATGTAATTTGCTAAATTTTCAAAAATGAGAAATTTATTAGTAGTATAGTAATTTATTGATGATGAGTAGAAATTAATAAGCTTGCAACTTAATAAATTCGTAGATTTTAACAATACAAAAAATCGCTGTTTTTGTAAGAAAAATAATGGTAACTATTATTAATAAAGTAACGCAGTACTTCGAAGCCAAGAACGCTGACCTCTGCCAGCATCAATATTGCAATTAATTGCAAAGTGCGAATGCATAAATGCATTTTACGAGATTTCAGGCAACGCTTGCGCAATTCTTCCACAATCAGCTGTTCGTTGTAGATTGCACAGAATCCTCTGGCTCAACTTCCTCTGTTTACATCAGTCCGTCATCAAGTTCAGCAGCGTCGACATCGTTTTTTCACAAGCCGGATGTTGCGTATTCAGTATAACGATAAATTTTAGTAGTATCGCAGAAATGTAATTTGCATGATACTACCAAAAATTTCTTGTCAAAATGTTCGTGGTAAACAAATCAGTGCTTATCGCGTTGCTATTGGAAACCATTGCCACTTCAGTTCACGCGAGAGTAATACAAGAAGGTATTGTAATATCTTGCATGCAAATTGCTTGTTACGCTTCCGCAGAACATATTATTCAGTGTCATTAGCGATTTCTTATGGTTATTTCCTTCTGCGAGATTTTCAACTTTCACAATTATGTCGTGTACTTTACAGCTGTTGAAAAAGTTTTCAGATGTAATTTCCCACTTGAATTGTAATGATAGGGAATAACATGATAATATAAGAGTTTACATCGCTTTCACGTTTTTAGACAATGCGTTCTGAACGTAACTTCGAACCGCGCTTGATGAACTCGGGTCAAAAATTGGTGGATGCGCCAGGCTATTTTAAGAAATATGAATTGTAAAACTTTACAGATTGGTTAGTAGTGAATGACATTGTCAGCATTTCCTTTAGTAGCTGACTCGAGTTCTAAATCCTATTTGAACTAAGACTGCTTTTGAAATGTTCTGAAATGTACTGAACAATGAAATACTGAGTTGCTTGTCGCAAATGTTCTTTCAGGTGTGAGTTAAAGCCAGCAGAATATTGCGTTACACAAAATATTTTTCTTTATTTGTACTAACTTAATGTTACGCTAGAACGGGCTCTGTAAGTGCAATGCATTTTTGCTTAATGTGTTTGCTGTGGCTGATGTTATTAGTTCCGTTGTTAGCATGTTTGTACTGTTGTGGTATTGAACGAATATTACCAAACTTACACGTAAGTAATAATGGAAAAGCATTTCGTTTTATACAGTAGTAGTAACCGTAAATGCTGTTTCCTGTTAATATTAGTTGGTTTGATCCAACTTGTTCGTTACTATTAAGTACAAAGATGCGGTTACGATTTAATAACCTCCGTGTTTCAGCAATCGATTTGCTAATTTATGTATACTATTGTGGTTATGTTAAGCACTCGCTGAAGAGAGCGGTTCCTACTGTAATAATGATAGATTAATGATTTGGTGTAAATTTAATTCGTACAAAATTAGCCACCGATGTTTCATTAGTAAATTCATTTTTAAATTTAATCTGGTTTAATTAATTAAAAAAACAGATAGATACTCGCAATAACGTGTGATAAAAATGCTACCTATTGTTTGTTTTATTTGTATGTAGTTTAAATGGCAATGACAGTTACGGAAAACCAATATGCCAAAACAAACTCTTTTTTAGGCAAAACTAGTTTATTTTGTTAAATGTGTCCTTTGTATGTGATTTGAAATAACATACTGTGGTTTGATTTTTTTTGCAATAAATTTCATTTACTATAAAATTTGTTATTTCGATACTTACGAACCAGATAAATGGAAAAAGACCAGTAGTGGCTACGGAAATTTGGAAATATTGAAATTCTGTAAACACCATTGTTTTTAGTGTGAAGGTAATTTAGTACACTGCAAATATGTCATTACCACAAAAAACTCTGACGCCGTTATGTATGACGTTGTGACCTCAACGCCATACATGCGTGATATTTGCAATGTACTAAATTAAAGCTTCTCCCTTCAATCTAAAAACAATGGCGTTTACAAAATTTCCACATATTTATTCGCGCTCATAAATCCGCGAAGTTTATCTAGGACAACTTGCATAGTTTTCACGTATTTGTTAAACATCTAGGAATATTTGATTGCAATTAAATTTTTAACAAGAGATTAAAGTACCACGTGACCGACCCTACGCCAATCAAACGTTGCTAAACGCCTCGTTAAATGCGTGATTAACTTAATCTGAGTTAAAATATTTTATAAATTTATTAGTCGTGACTAAGATTGATTTTAATTCAATCTATTTGTTCGTGAAAAGTTTAAAATGATTCAAATTTTGTTGTTTTATTATTAATCTTACATGAAAAACTATAGTTTCACATAAACAGGTAAGTTATTTGTGGTAATTGTGTCTTTGACACTATTTATAGTAATAGAAATAATAATTTATTAATTATTATGTATTAAAGATAAAAGACATAAAATACATGTGCACATGGCATGTCTACAGGTTATTTTATACATTATATTATTTATAACAGAAAAAATAAAAGTAAATTACATCACGCTAAATAACCATAATACAAGTAAAATAATAAACGTAATTACCTAGAATTACAATAATCTACAAATTCATATACGGAATAAAAATATTCACGTACCTACTTAAGAAAATTTATTTAAAAATTTGTGCCAGTCTTCTTATAGGTGTAATATTGTTAACTTTCGTATAGAAAGCATCTGACAGATTGTATACATTTTTTAAAGAAGGTATAAAAGTGATTTGCCTCTAGTATTATCTATGAATAAAAACGTACATTTATATTTATGTACATAAATAATCAAAAAATGGCGCACTAACTTTACGACACGTTGTTAAAGACTATTTATTGAGCAAAGAAAAAACAATTTGACAAATCCTTGTACCTCAAAGTTTAATATTTCTTTTCTACATTTTACCATATTTTAGTTCACTACATATAGGACTGGGTCTATGAAATTAATCCTATTGTCAATATTCAAAAGAGTATCATCTTTTTTACCATCGTTTTCTTCAGTTCATATATCACAAACAAAATAAAAATTGTTCAAAATGAATCTGACGAGAGTGGCTAACTTTATCAAAATCAATATTATGTTTCTGTGTCAAGTTGACGTATAAAAAATTACCCTTTTTTATTGATTTTTCTCGACTTAGACCTGTTAATTTAATATTGGATTTTTGATTACTCTCTATAATAACATTTTAAAAATGTAAATAATGTGTTGTCAGTTTATTAAATTTTATAAGTATTTCTATAAGACTGCAAGTAAGATGGTTAAAATTATTCTTATAACCCTCACCTGAAGGATAAAGAGTTGACGGCACACGCGGGACTGTTCCCAAATTATTATGTTATAGGAGATCTGTGAATACACCTTTCGCATAGCAAGTAGTTTATAAGTTGGAAGTGAACAACATATTGCTCAAGTCGGTAGTCGCGAAACGCTCACAATTTAATTTTTTACTTAGAGCGCCTATGTCATAATTAAAATTCATGGTAGTATTCACATAGATTTCTAAATATTTGCTGACGATCGTCTAGATTTTCAAGAAAATAGCTTTATCAATACCTATAATTACAAGAATATCATATAGTATATTATAGTTCTTTAAAAATGAGAATATACATATTCTTGACTGAAATTTTTATTTCCCGAGTATAAGCCAAAGAAGTATCGTAATCGAATCTATCGGGCGACTTGCAACTTTTATGTTTTCGCGACGTTCCATAACTCCTAGAGAACGAAAATATGGTCTCTGTTTCCGTTTGTCTGTGTAAATTTTTATTGGACATATTATCTCCGAAACTACTAGACCGACGGTTATCAAAAGAATTTGATGACGTCATCTCAAAATGTTTTTTTTTATTGATTTTATTATTAGAATTACACTGCACGTGTCGGAATTGACGTACGTGTCCTTGCTGAAATATGTTGATCAGAACTTTTTTTGTGTTGAATTTCCGTTGTATTATTATTTTTGTTATATTTGACTGATGTATTTCTGACCAATAAAAAGTTATATTTCGTAGACGAACACAAACAATTTATATATCATTTAACTTCTTACACTGTTACTAATGTTACTTATTATCTATATTTGTTTTAATGTATATAAAGGTTACTACAAATACAGTTCGCAAAATCAATTTTTTCTCTTCTCTTGACTAACAAAATTTCTTTCTAAACTACATAGCACCTTACACGAGTTATGAATCTTTCAATGTCATTTAAATGACATTTTCGTGGATGTAAGGAGTGCATAAAATTCAAACTTAGTTTCGAATTTTTCTCGTGGCCCTGCATATCTTAGGAAAGTTGGTGAGAGAAAAAAATTCTTACATATTTTAAACTAAATAATACAACAGCAATTTAATTTAAGTACTTAGTATTACTAAATAATTATCACAGGCATTTGAAATTTTATTTTGTAATATATAAGACGGAATAAGTATCTGTATAATCATATATTCGTAAATTTATAATCATGTGTTTTCACTAAATGTGGATCGATTATTGGCTGAAGGATCTTTTCTCCTGATTTGAGGATATTGGTAACATCAGTGGATCCAAGCGGGTGCGAAAAAATTGCGGCAAAATCAGGGTCTGGGACGACCATTAATAATGTACGGTAACGGTACTCAAATATTAGATAAGATAGTAAGATTTGGTGTTTCAATAAAAAATCAAGCACTAAAACTGTTTTTATTATTGTTGTTCTCAGTTCAAAATATACATATATATTTTTTGTTTAGGGCCCTTACTTATGTTGATGTTTTCTCACTCTCATTTCCTAGACAGTCTTCTGTTTTTAGATTGCGCCATTAAGAAACTACGGTTATCATTAAACTCTGGCCGTTACCATCCTGTTGAGAGTACCAAGTGAAACTAGAATACTTCATTTTTCATAAAAATTAATTTCGTAGAGTCCTGTTTGTAGCCTAATGAGTTTGCACTTGTTACATTCGGGTGGAGTTTTATTTTTAACTTTTGTAATGTCTTTGTAGTATTAAAGCAGTTTCTTATTTCACATTGTACTTTCTTTGTACGAATTCGTAGTTTTCTCAGTAATATGCTAAGTACATCCGTAGAGCATATTGTAATATCCGTGAATACAAAGGAGGCATTCATTCAAGTTTTCGGAATGTAAAATAAAAATCTATTTAAAAAAGTGAATTATTCCACCAGTAGCTGCAGTATTTACGGAGGCCATACCAGGAACCTCATCGTCAATGTTATAATTATTTATCAATACGGGACTGCTGATTCAACTAACTGCGTCATGGCCATCGACTGATTTTTTTAATAAGCTGTTAATAATTAATACAATGTAAGATAACAGAATGATTTTATCTGCTAGTTAAATGACATACATAATCTCTACTAATATTACAAACAGGAACACTAAACCATAAGATTCTGTAGTGCATGAACAAAATGTTTTATTGCAATTGAAATTTTCACGTCTAACGGGAGATAAAATGTTTTGCTTTTATGCGAGAAT